CCGTTTTTCCCTTAATGTCTTCCAGCTCTATTCGAATTATGTTCCTACCTGCCTTAGTCAACTGATGCATCTTGTCCAAACCGAGCCAGAACTCGCCGTTCAAGTTACCAAAACCGCGCTTGTAGTCGGCCCAGCCGCGATAAAATTCTACTGAGCCATCCAATCTTTTCTGAATCACTGTCCATCCTCCACCGGCTGTTTTATGGTCACAATAGACGTCGAAAGGACCGCGGCTGCTATCCGGGCTTATAGTGTACACTCCACTGATTCTCTCACCGGACTCGAAAAGGTCAGCGCAGTTTCGGTTCTTGACTACAAGAAGGGAAAGATTGAATAAATTTCATATTTGAAAGATTCGTCAAAGTAGACAAAAGCACCACGGAAACAAAATATTTAAGACAGAGTAGATTCATCTGAGTAAATCAATTTTGGTGAGAAATGTACCAATTGAAACATTTTAGAACTTCTCTGTTTGAACAGTAGAAAAAGTTTATCCTGAAAAAATACAAAGAGAACTAAGGACAAGTTGTTCTAACGAAACACTCTTTAATAAACAGAAAAAATTCGTGTTAAATTTTTTACCAGTTTTGTTTTCTTTCTCTGTCTTCATATCACGCAGAAGCTCTTGTAGGTCAGTAAGCTGTGCTTGAATTCCTTGAAGAATGGTCTTCATCTCCTCGTTAGTTCCCGCGTAATAGTTTCCATTTATCACTGTACTGCACTTGTTTTCCTGAGGGTTTCCTTTCGTCGTTCGACATTTATCATGTACCAATGTTCTGCGACTTGCCACAGACACCGTGAAAAACAAGAAACTCCAGCAAAGCGTTGTAAGGACAAAAGTCTCCATTTCGGTTTAACAGCGCGAGGAATGTGGTCTTTGATTACAAATCATCGTTGGTATGCACCAAGTAGATTAGAATAGAGATTATATTTCTTGTTTCTTTATTGTAAAGCTGTAGCGTCACTAAAATCCTCATATTTACAATAGTTTCGCTGATCAAAGATCCTTTGGTTGTTGCGGCGATACGTGACTATGTTTCGCAAACACGACAGACCTGAAACTGTCAAACAGACTTACAAAGCGGTCTCATTCTCAGATTTGACTGCCTTTCACGATTTGATGATGAAAATAAGTATAAACTGATTGTTTTAACTTAGTAAAAACACTCCACACAGTCAAGCCTCAGCCAGTTAACAGCGATGAATACAAAATTAGAAACAATGAGTTAAATCAAGAGGAAACAATTCACAATGCATAATATTTGCAATGCTCATTCACCATACTGTTTTCTATACATTTCCTGAGGTGCTGACAAGGAGAAGTTGTTTAACAATCAAGTTGGTGATTATTTCCTTTAATTTCGTGACCTCAGTATGTGATTCAGGGCTGATATTGTGGGGATAAATTAGATGTTAGTCACTCTCTTTAATACGATAAAAGAAAGTCGGCTGTTTCTATTAAATTTATGATTAAGGTGTGCAAATGAATTTGCAAGGTTGATTGTACAGAAGCCCACCGAACGTCTCACAAAGGACAAACACGTTATGACTTTTACATCGACGTTCTCTCTCTCTCTTTCTTTTTTCTTGCTCTTTCTTTTTCTCCTAACACGTTATAGCCTCTAGCACCAGGTGGGCACCATCTCTCTTAAGGGTACAGCAAAAAAAAAAGAGCTTTTTCATTCCTTCTCACGTGCGAATTTTAACAAAATTTATGCCAGGGCAAAGTATCCTTCACAATTCCCAAATGAAAGAGTTACAAGTCACGAGTAAAGTCTCAAAGTTGAGGTTTATGCTCTTTTCAAAAAAATAAAAACCTGAAGTTTTACGATTTTCACATAAATTTTCATTACTTTGTGCCTCAGGTGCATAGGTACGCTTTCGGTGAGTCAGCATTGCTTCATGTTTCATTCCTATAAACACTAATTTACTTTCCGAACTCGTTTGTAAACAGTGTCTACCCTCCCTGAAAAACGGCATTTCTTTTATCCTAGCATACCTACATTTAGAAAAAAGCACCTCCCCGAAAAAAACCTTTATTGATACCTTCCTAAGACAAGTTAAGACATG